AAGTCTCATCGGTGTATTTTATTGGGCAATAATTCTCTCTAAAAGGTTATTCATTTTGTTTCTGCACAGAAATGTGACATAGAAAAATGAAGAAACCAGAGATTCAAGAGGTTTCTCAGCTCAAGTGTAGGTTGGCGCCTCTAGGTATTATAAAAAGACAAAAGAGCAGCAATTACTACTAGCTTGGTCTTGCCACTCTAGGGAAACAGTGCAATTAGGGCAAGGAGTAAAATACCAGCATGACCCGAACAGGCTCATTATCAATGAAATCTCAAAATGGCAACATCAATTAATAAAATGCACCGTACAGCATGAAATTCTGGCATGAATTTAAGCTAGCTAGAGGGGGCAGAAATAGAAAATATGCAGGGTTTTTTTATTCACTTTATCTGAGGAGCCAATATAATCTTTTGACACGTGATGCAAAGACTACCATTTGAAAATTTTTTTACTGTCTTATGTCTGTAATACGTTTCTCAAGACAAAGGGTTGGTTCAGATAATGAAGTATTTCAACAGATGAAGTTACATTAAAGCAACTCCCTTATCAATCAGAATTAATACTTCATATCTGACATTTGCAGCTATGGTGTACAAGGGGATCAGGTGATATGGCGATGAGTAAACACACTGGCTGGAGCTAAAAATACCATAACTCACATTTGAAAGTTAGCTCTAAGATGAATAAATTACCTTTTTAATGAAGTGAGAGGCATATATTTGACTATCAAACAATACTGAGTATTTGGTACTAAAGAAAATCCAGATGTTACTAATAATATATATCTTTTTCTTTACAAACTCTAGTATCACATAGTTAGAAAGGACAAAAGTGAGTATAGTGAAAAGATTCCTACTAGCTCCAGTGCCTAAAAGTATCAAAGGCCAGATCAGTGAAACAGCACTAATTCATTCTAGATACAGCACCTGGGATCAGGACTTCAGCATGCCAAACTGAGTTTCTGGTTTAGATATCATGAATCAAGGAATGACAGTACAAGCAGTGTCTGTAACGCCTCACTGAGCTTTCCAGGGTTTACAAGTCAGCTTGATCTAGTAGAGAAAATACATCATGGCTTTATCCGCAAAAGCAAAACCATCAGTGTACGGTTCGCTGCCTTCCCAGCTACCTTAGCAAGGGAAATGAGTTGCATACATGTGCAAGGGCACATAGTGTTTCCCAACAGCATATTGTGCTAGAGCACATAGACACTGAACAACCTATTTGCTCAACATCAATTGCTCAAGACTAAACCACTGTGCTGATGGTAGAAGGGCTCAGCTGCCGTGAACAGCACCAGTGGATGGTGCACAGCACCAGAAGCCTACACAGGGCAGCATGCCCTGATTGAGGACTGAGAGCACCACGGACCAAATATTCCTGTTTCTTCAGTGACTCACTCTGTGCAGCAGCTTTAGCAAGGGAAGTCCAGGCAGCTGCAGTTCTGCCAGCTCTCATGATACATCGCACTTCTGTAATCACCGAGCTGGTGTAAATTGATTCTTGTTCCCTCTTTTTAACATAAAATGCAATTTATCTCTCAGAGGAGAAGATTTTTGGAAAAGAAGAAACAGTTCAAAAATTAACTTTGGTCACAGAAGGCAAAATTTTAATTTGCAGTTCAAAGCTACGTATTAGTGAATGGTACCCAGAGGAGGAAAAGCATGCAGCTGTCTGAAAGGAATCCAAAATTCAAATAAAATGTTTCCAGGTAATCTAGCCAAATTTATCATAATTACTCTTGGGTGAGCAGACTAAAGCCTATAATTTGTGGACAGCATCCTACAACGATTATGTGTGTAATCAGATAAATACTGTAGGCCTGGACTGAGATTCACTTCTTAATAAGTGCCGTAAATAAATACATAAATAAGGCAAAACATTACAGGGTTTTTTTCCTTTCTTTTTCTTTTTTTCTTTTTTTTTTTTTTTAGAAAACGCTTTTTTTCCCATCAGATAGATAATTTCATTGAAACTTAGACATGCAGAAGCTCTGTTATCCACAGTAGCCTTTTAGAAAACACTTGTGTGCCCTAGACACATAAAATATCCTTTCAAAAGCAATTTATGCCACTGAGAATTGGCTGTCTAAAGACTTGAGGATTTGGTGTTTAAGGCTGGATTTTTGAAGCCTTGGGTCTTTGGTCACATTTTTAAAACTCCAATACCAATCATTGAAACCATTTTAAAGTTTAAATTTCCTAAATCACTGCTGTCTCCCTAAAGAGTTGTGTAATATTGATGCTCAGATTATGGCTAGACATCCTACTTCCAGGGAAGAATTAGCTGACGTTTCCCATGCAGGGAGTGAGCCCCCAGCTCTCCTTGCAGGGGAGCTGGGAGGGGCTGTTTCACACTACAGGCAGTTGCCAAGTTCCTCTGGCCCCAGCTGCTGGAGAGGAGAATGCAGATTTGGTTCTGCAGCATGGCAGAGCCCTGGGCAGCCATGCCATGGTTCTCCCATCAGCTGTAATTCAGCCCTACCTACTGTCAGTGCATTTTTTCAGCTCCATGACCACGTTTTTAACACACAGAACTCCTCTGCTTCTCTCCCAGATGGGTTATCAGGGCTCTACAAGGACAAAATCACATGAGAAGACACAGCTGCAGCACACTAGAGAGCAGTCAGTATCTTCTCATGGGCAATTTCTGCTCCCTTGTCCTGTCATACAGACCATGAAGTGTATCAATGATGAATCCAGGGGACTGAGCATGATGAAATAAAGAAATCAACATGCTAGATGGCAGCATGGAGAGCCTTTCCCTACACTGTGTCCTTCTGGCACTGGGAACAGATTTACTGCAGCAAAGAGACCAAATCTGGACCTCTTTGATGTGCACTTACCAAAAACCCAACCAACAGAGATCTACAGTCTCTGTTGAAAATGGAATTACATTTGAAGGAGTAATATAAAGGTAGGCTACCCCCTTGGTCATGACCATGTTTTATTCATATTGTCCAATTTTGTAAGGGAGATTTATTGTATTATTTAGTATCACAGAATTTGTCCCATTTAATTTTGTTCTAAATACTAAGAAAGTGGTACGTAAAGTCCTGAGGCTGGGGATTGGGAGTTTTCATTTGCTCATCTGGCTTTGATGAACACTGAGTAGTTCCATTTACATAATGCAGTGGTAACACTTCAGCCAGCATTATATCCAGGAGAGCTGACTGGCAGGCATTTAAAATGAAGGATTATCTTGTGGTTGAGGCAGAGGAACAGGACTCTGGAGACCTGATTTCTGTTCTTTGATCAGTCACACAAATCCCACATGACACTGGGCAAGCCAATTAATAGCTCCACATCTCTGTTCTTCAGCAAAATTGAGGGGAGGAATGTTTTGTTTTAAATTTCACTTTTCTCCAAAAAGAGGGAAAACTCTGTGGATTGTTTCTTATTGATTGGTATAGTAGGAACCTCATTTCTGTTATGCCCCTCAGTGTTTCCAAAGTTCAAAACAAAAAATCCTTTTATATTTTCGGGATCTGTTTTCACATGAATACTGAACAGTGACTGAGTTCTCTTCCATCTAAATTGGTCCTAGTGATTTCTTCACTGGTTTTCATTGTTATAATTTGCTATTGCTTGCCTGGCAATGATTTCAGGCCTCAGAAAACACTTGTGGAAGTTATTTTACAAATACAATCTGTAAAAATAAACTGGGGGGGGGGGGTGTGAGAGATTGTGCTTATGTATCAAAGTAATAGTAGTACTTTTTTACCATTTTGCTGCAGCTATGATGGTCAAAGAATGTAAGCAAAACAAATTTTCTAAAGAGGTAATGTCTCTTACTAGCACAGTTAGGGTGCCAAATACACAAGCCCTAGGTCAAGTATACGTACGTACATGCAGTGCTCACATTGCGAATTCTGAAGTACCTACTGAAAATTCATAGGTCCAGGCTCCTGCTCTCCTACCCTCTTCTCCCTCCAAAGAAGGTGCAGGCATCTGTGCTGAATTACCAGCAAATGTACAGAAAACATTCTGACATTGAATCTGTGCAGATAAGATTAATATATGAATAGCCATTACAGAGGTCAGAAGAAGAGTTTGTTCTCATTTTCCCATCCCCACACTGCAGCTGACAGCTCAGCACTTGAGCTGCAGTGATGGACAGGACCGTGCCACAATTTCCTTTCAACTTTGCTTGTACAAGACTCAGATTATTTGGACAGATAAATATCAGATTGAAATAATTTACTGTTGTGCTTCTCACTGTATGGTATAAGTCTGCCTTTATTGCAGCTTACGCTACTGAAATGAACATTTAGTTTTATTTTAATTTTCTGCACACTTACAGGAGAGAATCATTGTTGCAGTTATGATTTAATAAACAACAACTTGGACCTGGACCAGGTTAATAGATGACTACCAGGAGCAACAGCAGGACAGCCATAAGAACTTCTGTTTTCAGTCTTAGAAAAAAGGTTTTCTCATAATGAAATATCCTAACTCCAGATTTGCATCTGGGATCATAGAGTTGCAGCTTTTTCTACCTGGCATCTCACACCTGGCTCCTGTTAGGAGGGAACATCACAGCCCATTTGCTCCTTTCCAACAGTATTTCAGAGGAGCAAGCCACCTACCTACAGAACGTTTTACTAATGCAAAGGAAACTGTAGTGGGTTGACCCTGGCCAGATGCCAGGTACCCACTAAAGCCATTCCCATTCCCCTCTGCAACTGGACAGAGGAGAGAAAAAAAAACAGCGAAGGAATCATGAGTTGAGATAACAGCTGGGAGAGGTCAGTTGCTGATTACCTTCACAGGCAAAACAGACTCAAAGTGGAGACATTACTTAAATTTGTTACTAACAGGATCAGAGCAAAAGAGTGAGAAGTAAAATAATCTTAAAAACACCTTCCCCCTACCCCTCCTTCCTTCCATGTTCACCCTCCTCCTCCCCCCAGTAGTGCAGGGGGATGGGAAATGGGGGTTATGATCAGTTGTTTCTGTTGCTGCTCAGGGAAAGGAGTCCTTCCACTGCTCCTGTGGGGTCCCTCCCATGGGAGACAGTCCTTGATGGACCTCTCTGGTGTGAGTACATCCCTTGGGTAGCAGTTCTTCCCAAACTGCTGTCCCGTGGGTCACTTGTCCGTGGGGTGCAGTCCTTCACGAATGAGCTGTACCACCGCAGGTCCCCCACAGGGGCCAAAAGTCCTACCTGGGATAAACCTGCTCCAGTGTGAGCTCCTTTATCCATGGGCTGCAGGTCCCCTGGCAGGACCCTGCTCCATCCTGGGCCTCTTGTGGGGTCACAGCCTCCTTCAGATATCCACCTGCTCCAGCAAGGGCTCCTCCATGGGCTGCAGGTGGGTCTCTGCACCCCGATGGTCCTCCATGGGCTGCCGGGGCACAGCTGCTCCACCATGGTCTGCATCATGGGCTGCAGAGGCCTCAGCTCTGGCCCCTGGAGCACCTCCTGCCCCTCCTTCTGCACTGACCTTGGTGTCTACGTTGTTATTCCCATGTTCTCACTCCACTCTTCCCTGGCTGGAATTATTTCTGCGCAATACCTTCTGTTCTTAAATATGTTATCACGGAGGCATTACTATCACTCCTAATTGGCTCGGCCTTGGCCAGTGGCAGGAAGTCCATCCTGGAGGCAGCTGACGTTGGCTCCACCAGACAGGGGAAGCTTCTAGCAGCTTCTAACAGAAGCCACCCCTGTAGCCCCCCTGCTACCAAAACCTAGCCACAGAAACCCACTACAGGAACCAAGCCATTACTATTTGTTGTGTACTCGTGGCCACTATTCATGGTTAGACTTCAGCCTAATTTGACAATGACCTTTTGCCTGATGTAGTTAATTTTGTTTCCTGTAGTTTTTCATTAAAGGAAGATAATGAAGATACAAGCTTCTTAGTGTAAATAATTAAAGACTGACTAGCAGTGCGATAGCTAAAAGTAGATTCTTCCTCTCCTGTTTGTTCTTGTTCATATTTTGATGTACCCTTAAAAAAATCATGAAAGTAGAAGACTCAGTAGCCTTCAAAAATAAAGAAGACTTCATAAGACACCATACTGTGTTCCATGAGAAGCCCCAGTTTTATTACCATTGGAAAACTCACAAAGAATAGTCTGTAAAAAGATTTCTTAATGAAGACAGCATGTGCAAGAAGAAACACACTGTGTGTCTGGAAGGCCCATACTGTTAACCAGGACTGAACTGCCCCAGCAGTACTGGACATACATGAGATTTTTGATCATCAGAAGATGATAGTTTTCACTACTAGCATTTTGTATCACTATTGCTGAAACAGAGGATGTTGAGGATTCGTTATTAAGGATTCATTTGTGTGCGCTCTTTAACGCATTCAAGTCTAGCCTGTTGTTCAAGCAAATGCATTTCACATTGCCTCATAAGCAATCTCTACACACCTTGGATGGGGAAATTACAATGATTTGAAAACTGAAGCAGTTTCATACTGCATTATCACTGTCAGATATGCTTTAAAGATCAGATCTTTCTTTGGCAATGCCAGAAATAGTGAGTGTTCTCACTTACATTCTTCACTTGGAAATAGTGAGTTTTATTGCAATCTCTGCTTCTCTTTTGAGCAGGACCAGCTTTTATCTATTTTCTAGACAAGGGAGTACTTTTTCTGTGCTATGTAAAGTGGTAAAGCAGCAGTAAAAGCAGTAAGGGATTTGAATTGAGTGGGCAATTTGACTAGCATAAATCTGTTGATTCTAAACTGTAATGTTTCAGCTGTCCAACTGGTTTGCTCACTCTAATTCCTCCTAAAGGTAAAAACATAAACTGAAAAAAGGTAAAAACATAAACTGAAAAAATAACCCCCCAAAAAGAGAAAATGTCAAAGCTGATTAATGTAGTTACCAGTTTACTATAAATAACTAAATAAATATTTAGTTATTTCAGACTTCTGGTTGCCTATAGCAATTGAACAAGTACCTTGGATACTGCAAGTGGGCTAATCTGAGCATACTGTAAGACATAAATGAACGAAAGTTACTTGAATAGCAACCTTAAGCTGTCCTCTTCCAACATGCTATAATTCCCATGCCAAATGTATTTGTAAATTTCTCACATCTGTAAGGCATTTTTTAGAATAATTGTAATCAAAAAATCCTTAACTATTTATAGGAAAACAACAGATCTAGAGATCATTGACACTTCCAGTTTTGCCAGTTACCTGGATATTGCCTTGAAATTTAACAAAACCACAAAAGGTTAGAAGTGGCTGAAGATCTGCAAACTGGGCATGAAGATATGCTTTGTTGTTTGAGAACTGTGTTAAATTACGAGGTGGAGTTACTATTCAAACATGCACCATAAAGCCACTTCGAGTGTGGATTGCAGAAGCATTTTGAGTGTCCTAACTACGCCCACTGCAGCAAGCAATAACAGTGACAAGCTTGGAGCCAAATTTCAGCAGTCGTTGCTGACACCCGAGGCACTCATGCTAGCTCTGGGCCTTGCTTACACTATTCCTATGGCCCATTATTGGTTTTGAGGGTTTTGATTCCTCTGTGGAAGGTCTTAAACTTCCGATACAATATTGGAGAGTGTTTTGTGGCTTCTGTTACAGGGTCACCATAGGGTATGTGTCTGTTACATGGTCATCAGTGAAGTAAGAAACTGGACCCCATGGCACTACACATATTTCCATCCCTGTTCCTAGATACCAAGGGCAATGCCAATATTTTTAAAAATTCTCTCCACAGACATTATGAACAGAAAGTAACACAGATATCTGAGACTTCCTAAATATTGTACTGGCAAAAATCTAGACGTTCCTTCCTGATCTTCACACCCAACTTAGTTAGGCGAGGCTTTTGCTGAAATTTGTGGTGGTTTTGACTGAATAAGGGCAGCAGGATTTGATCCCGCAATAATAATATAAAAATCTGAATTCCAAACAAGAAATCCCTTGTAAAAGGAGTACATAAACTTTTTTTGTAGAGGAAGAAAAACATGGCAGAGAAACAAACTGCCAGATACTTTCAGAATCAGTGTTTCCAGAACAACAAATATTCATTTTATACATTGGAGTACAAAGCTATGAATCATGTTGTTTATGAAGTGAAAAAATTCAGAAAAAGTAATGAATATAGACAGTTACTTGATGTAATCTCAACCTTCTAGCAGTTCTGTTCAGATTCACTCCCAAGTTAGTTTCTTCTTCAATAGTCTAACTTTCTATTTAGTGTACAGGGGATTTCTAGTTAAATAACATACTTCCATCATAGGTAAATTAGTTATGATTTCTTTGTTTCTATCTGACCTCAAGTATTACAGCAGTTACAAGCCATACAAAGAAAGAAAGAAGGCATTTCTCTAAATGGTCAGAGCCCAGTGCTCCACCTACTCCAATTGCCTTATGCCCAGTAACTGGTAGTTGTTGTGACAAGGAAAGGCCCAAGAAACCCTAATTACTAAAGAGCAAGAGAAAAATTTTCTCAATGTTGACAGAGACAAGGCAATAAATCTATTTTGTAGGCTGCATTGGCAATCAAGTGAAACCAAACAACAAAGGCCACAATCAAGACAGGTCAAGATGAACAACTAAAAAAAAGTAAAAAATACATCGGTTCCAGTGGGAAATGAGTGGGAATGCAGTCCAGCATCATCAAAACAGGCTTCAAAACAACAGGGTAGGCTCCAGGAAAGGAGTGGCCAGAGCAAAAGCAGGATCTTATGAGTAAAGACTGTGCATGCACTGCCATTTAATGGGTGCCTGATGGTGAGGCCTGGACCTGGGCAGAGTAACCCTCAAGTAGGTGCTGTCTGTGCGATAATTCAGCTGCTGAAAGCTCATACTTTCTCTCACCCTCTAGAGAGGCTAGTGTGTAACCAAAAGCATCATGAAACTTTCAATATTTTTTTCCCCTGTCAGCCTACTTTTTTTCTTTTTCGTTTTATCTTTTTTTTAAGTCCCATAAGTCTCCATGGCATTTTCTATAGCAAAATAGCATGCTGAATGTTTTTTCTTAAAAGGAAAATGTCTTGCTTGACATTTACAGCGAACCATCCGACCACAAGGCGTTCCTGCATCCAGACCCACAGCAGGAAGCAGAGGAGAGGAGCAGAGCAGTCCACTCCTGCAGTGCTACCAAAGCCAGGCTGATCCCACAGCAGCTCCCATAAAGGGCACCTCACATGCACTCAAAGATGTAAGAAGGCAGACTCTCCGAGAATTCCCAGATGGGTAAGACACATTAAGATCTCATGGTGGTGATAGAGACAGCAGTTTTTAAAATCAGAGTTATAATCCAAATGCAGGTTTTAGGATGAAATCTTGCTTTTCTATTGATCACAGCATTAAAACCTTTGTTGAGCATTAGATCAGGACACCAGTGGTATTCCTGAGACTGTTGAAATCTTTGCAGGGGATCGGCTACACAGGAGGTGCCAAATCAGGATTGTAGTTTTAATCTTTAATTACCAAGGAAAGATAAATATGATAATAAATTTGTCTTCTTTGGGAATTGGTGTGCACATATAGACATTTCCCTTCCCGTTAGTAAATATCACACCCTGACTTTTGGCTATCATTTGCCATAAGATGTGTGAGAACATTTTGTTGCTCTCTTTAAGGATTTATTCCTATTTGGAAGAAAATGGAGGTTAGTTGCTAGCAGTGCAGCACTGCTGACAAATCTGCAAAGCCAAGAGCTTTGTTCCTCATGAACAAGTAAGATGAAGTAAGCTGTGCAGAGGGGCTGCTGCAGGCTGAGGCCCTGAATAGATGATTCTTAAGAATATTCATTTGAGCTTTCAGAGGCATTTCTACCAGGGGCTGCCCCTGTGATTCATTACTTCTCTTCTAATCTCTCCCGCCTGCAAGTCACCAATCCATCTGGCTGGTGGCAAACTGAAGCATAAATCTTGTAAGTAGCCCAGCTTTTGCATTTCTATTTTGAAGGATTTTGACACCGGTGGGCAGGTTTTCTTACTGCCCGTTAGTAGCTCACCTTAGGTGGTGTCCAAGGCTCTGTACAAGAACCACAGTGTCTGCGGATTTCATGAGTTTCCCTCAGCTATGTGGTAAATCTGCGTTGCTCAAGAGCTGCCTCGTTTAGAAGCAATGTTTGCTTTAGAGCAGATTCACAGGTCTCTTATGTGCTTCTGCCACAGATGAACAGCACAGGACTCCTGCAGATACCCATCCCATTCCACCCAGAAACTACCAGGGGAAAATGGGTTCTTCAGCAGTTCGTGTTTGACTGTTTCCAAAACCACAGCTTTTGCATGTCAGGACATTGTTCAGATCAGGGACTCGGTGATTCAGTCAGGTCAGCTGGTGAAAAGAAACATTTTCTGGTCTGCAGGCAAACTTACCTCACCTAAAGGGAGCCCATCTGTATATACTGACCATCCTGAAACAGAAGCCTGATAGAACATAGATAGATTCTTCTGGTGAAGAATCTCAGTATTTCAGTTTGTGAAATGTTACACAACAAAGTAATAATCATGGCCTTCCTTGAAGGACAGTTAGGTAACATTCATTAAAGCCTAGTTGAAGGAGCCTGTCAGAGATCAAAGACTTCATCTGGAGCACTCAATGATTCTTGCAAAAGTGACTTTCAAGGCCTCTGGATATTTTTAAATATCACGTTTACTACTTTTCCTCACAGCAAAGGAAGAAAATGTACGCAAGAGTATACATTACTCTTTCACTACATCTCCTATTCAGTGATCCTAAGTTAAAAATGCAAATATTCATACAAAAAATATATGAAGCTATGTACACAGATTTAACAAGCAGAAAAAATTATAAACAACCATACTAAAGTGTGCAGCCAACACCTGACACCACAACAAGGATTTCCTGTAAAATTCAAAGGCCTGTGAGATTGCACACCTCAGCCCTTTTCTGAGGAACCTAATGTCATTAGATACTGACTTCACTGATCTTCTTCCTATGGCTTTCATCTACCCCTGCCTGAGTAGTAGCAAAAGAACTTATTTTTTCTCCCAAAATAGCTCATTTTCTGCTGAAATTTAAAAGACTGCATAAGGTATGGGATTGATAATGCCCATTCAGCAGTGAATCCATTTCTACTGCTGGCAGTGCTGTGGGAATACTTCATAGAGAGGACAAATGTAACTTATCGATAGGGATATCCACTTGTCATAGGAAAGAGGTGTGAACATATGTGAAAAACAGTTTTGCAGGCCAGTTCAGCTCTTCCTGTGTCACATAGCCAGGGCAGTACCAAGGGGTGTGCAGGGCAAGAGGCACCCACCCATCCAACTGCCCGTTCTCACTTCTCTTTCTAACCAGTCAGACAATGAAGACAAAAAGATCTGGTTAACATTTTCTGTCTTTCTCATATTCTGGGGGACAGAGAATCAACAGTAAAAGGACAGCCTCTTCCCAGCTTGCCAAGGACTGTGGGTGCAGGAGCTATTCTAGGTTATCATTTGTCAGCCCTTTCTACCTGCTAACAGTAGGATTTGTAAATGAAACCTTTGCACAAGAAACCCAGAAGGACAGAAAACAAAGAGATTCTTTTAAAATAAAATGGTCTTTTTATGACATGGCACCAAACACAGATAGCACAAGGGGACCCAATAGTTAGCAGTCTAATGAGCTCCTTGATATTTTTTTGGACTGGTTAGGTTGTCAGGGACAAGAGTGTCCTGGTAGCTCCCTCAGTGCCAGTCACACTGGGGAAGGGAACAGAGCAGAAAAAATGAATGGGATTAAGAGAGAACATAACCAGGGGCTTAGAAAAAAACCTTTAACAACATGGTCATTATATTAGAAATCTAGAAGTTGCTTAAGGCAGCACTTGAACAACTCATCATAGAAAAAAAAAAGTAATATAAAAGAAAGATAAAGCCTTTTGAACAACACAAGTCTTTTCTTTCCATTCCTGGAATAGACAAAATAATGTCTATAGTGGTTTTCCTGTTAGCTGGAGTCATATCCTTTCCTTGTAATATGTATAGTTTATTGCTGTTCAATTTTTCCCAGAAACTACAACAGATCAACATCCCATTATTCTAGGTGCAGTAAAAACACAAATAAAACAAATATTGTTGCCCCACAGTGTTAAGAATCTGAAGAAATAAGATAAAGGATGAGAGAAAAGAATTATGATTTATGAGAGAGAAAAGAGGGAGAGGCATGGGTCTAGCTGAAATTGTGACTGCAGGCAGTAAGTTGTACACTACTCTGCCTGCTTCTACCTGGAGAGAAAGAGAGCAGTGAATCCATACCTTTGATTAGCTCATCTTAACAGATACAAGATGCTGAAAAAAAACCAAAGCTTTCCTGAAATCACACGTGCAAGACTGGAGTTTATCTTCCACAGAAATACTGAAAGTAAAATGAAATTCCTTGGAGCACACAGTACCAGTTTGGAAAAAAAAAAAAAAAATCACATGCACACACAAATGGAATCTGAGAGTTAATCTGGAAATTATTTTTCCTCTGCAGACTTTTTTTTTCACTGGAAGACACTTAGCAGGTTTTTTTAAAATCTGTTTTAGCTACACAGAAAACATTTAACAAACCAGAGGACTAATTTTTCATCTCCTGCCCTGGGGACACTTACCTCAAAAAACCCCAAAATTCACAACCAATTTATCTTCACAGGTGCCTGAAAACATAACGTGCCTTAGCACTTTGATGCCTGCTGGGTTTTCCAGCAATGTGAGAGTTATTGAAGGGAAGAATGTTGTTTGTCATAAATAACACTCCAAGGAATATGTTTGTTCATTTTTCTCTCGGGTAATGCCAGTACTTCCTCCGAGGTTCTATCATTTACAGAATAGCTTGAGAGGAGCCCGCATTGCAGAAATCACAACCACTACCCTCCAACAATACTGGTCAAAAAGCCTTAACTGTTCTGTTGCTCCTATATCCCAGAACCTAACACAATAGCACCACAAAGCCAAAAACACCACAGGCACTGCCATCATTGCATTGCAACACTTAGTACTTGTCTCTCTAAAGCCATCCCTACAGGACATTTCATCATCAGTACTGCTTTAAAGTACTGGAGGGAAAATCATATGGCACGTTCTTCAGGGCCTTCAGGATTTTTTCAGAATAAAATTAAGTTTAAATATTCCTGTTCCTCTTGCATGCAAATACTCCTGTTAGAGTAATGCAGTAGTTCGCATTGCAGCATGCAATATGTGCCTGTATATCTGGTGAACAAGAGTAGGAAGAGTCTAAAGAGAGTAGGAAGAATTGAAAGACAGAGAATAATATAGAACAATAAAAGCTCTCGCGGAAAGTGGGAACAGAAATCCTGGATGAGAAGTTCCAATAGTGAAAACAGGACAAAGAAATGGCCCCATCATATTTAAGTTGCCAAATATCCATTCAGTGTTAGCAGAATTCAGCCTCAGGCTGCACACTAGGAATAAGGACAAAGAAAGGTATGTTACAGATCATTTCCTGCATATATTCCATATACATTCTTTTTTTCTAAAGACAGAGTTTTTCAGTAGTTTCTTCCCATCTAACTTTAGACATTTGTTTAAATATTCTCTGTTGAAAATATATTTGGTCCTAGTTTCCTTCATAGTCAAAGGAAAGACATTGGCTTGCACAGAGTAAGGTTAAGCTCTGTAGATACCTATAAGGTTTATCAGGGAAACCTGAGCTGGCTATGGCTGCATATCATAGACAAATGGAGACAGTGGGCAGAGCATGACATGCCTGGTAAGCCTCACTATCCTGATAAGAAGACCTGTTTGCTGGCTTCCTACCCCTGTATAAATACGCCAGGGCACAGGGAAAGAGAGGGTGCTGCACACCTGGGTCTTGCCTGAACAAACAGGGATGCAGCCTGGTTGTTCCCTGACCCACAGACACATCCTACACACCTAACCTGAATCTAGGGTAAGCACCAAAGCTTAGGAAGTCAAAACTGAGCCTTTACATCTAACCTGTATTTAAAGTGGCAATGCACCACTCCTACTGACACCTATTTCACCTGCCTTAGGTGAGGATCTGTACCTACACCCACGTAAAAAGGCAAGGACTGGAAGGATTATATGCGTACACAGTGTAAAAAACACATTAAAATATGTAAATAAAGAACATTGCCTTTCAAAATCTATTTTAAAACCTGTGTGGGTTTTCTCTGATCTTCTCTCCCCCTCACCTTTTTCCCCCGTTAGCAGAATTGAATGAAGAATAGAAAAACACAACCAAAAATTTCAAACATGTCATTTTAGCTGCCT